TAATATAATTATGATATTATTTGTTACAATATTACTATTATATTATATTATATTATATTATATTATATTATATTATATTACGAGTCTGTATTTTAAATTGGAAAGATTGTAAATTTTAATTTCATTAGGAGTATTATGAGTATTATGAAAGTTTCATTAATTGTACTATGTCGATTCCCACATAATCTAAAAACTAAAATTGTCTTTAAATTGTTTATGATTTTGGCTATAAATTCTTAAAAAATCTTCAAAATGCACTTTTGAGGAGATTTATTAAACACTAAAATCAGCTTTTATCAAAATCAAAGCAAAGTCCTTACTTTTACTTAGATTTATCCGAATCAAGTCAAGGCGATGAAGCAGGCTCAAGGCCAAGGGAAATCTCTTTAGGAAAGCAAGTCCCGTCGAGTTAGCTGTTGGAGTAAAGGCATGCCTTAAGGTAGCGAGTGACTTGAAGGTGAGATGGTGAGAAAAAAGCAATACTAAATTAAGCCATTATCATTACTCATGAGTCGACTGATTTTTCAACCCCATCGATAAAACTTACACGTGAAGCTACATTTAACACATAAATATGCCAATAATCAAAATTAAATAATAATGAAGCTTGCCTATCTTTTTTCTTTTTTTCTTCTTCATTTTCTTAATTTGTTACAAGTCACAGGTCCAAGGGATCCTACCAAAGCCTTAAATAATCTGAAAATTACATTCAATCGCTATAAGTTGCAACGTAACCATCTAACAGAACCGTGAGGTGTCAAATTTATTAAACATTCCTCCGTTTCCCAACTGAAAAATTTATGATGATTTTATTGTAACTAAAAGAAGGAAAAAAAGAAATAAAAAGAAGGTTCAATTCAAACAGCACCGTTTACCCAACGAGAAGTTAGATAGAAGATACGACGCGGATTCAACACTAGAAAACCGCTGCCACGCACGTCCCACGGTTTCGTCGCATATATAGTTATTATCCCCTTTTTTCCAGCTAACGCTTCCGCCGCATGACCCGCCTCCTTATCCAATTTTATCGCTTCACTTTTCCCAACCTATTTATTCCTCTCACTTTCGTCAACTTTCTCGCCCTCCAAACAAACTCCAATCATTTACTTCTTTCCCCACACACACACTCACTCTCAAAGAGATGATAAGCGACTATCAATCTTCTTCGTCCTCTCCGAAGGAGCAGAGGCTGACCAAGCCCTCGATGTGCCTCTCGGGCTGCTTCTCCACCAGCGTCCACCACGAGGTCCTCGGGGGCGACGACAGCGACAGGATTCGCACGCCTCGATCACCGTATGCGTGGCTGAAATTGACGGCGCACGAGCTGCCGGAGATCCGCGACCGCTGCCGGAACCTGATCTCGCGGCTTGGACGGAGCCGGAGGAACCACCACCAACGTAACTCCTCGGACTTCAGCTACGACCTGTCGAGCTACGCGCTCAATTTCGAGGACGAGTACAGCCGAGACGACGAGTCGTTTCCGCTCAGGAATTTCTCGTCCAGGCTTCCGGTGTCGCCGCCGCCGTCGTCTGCGAAGTACGTGTCTGATTCCGCCGCCGTGCGAAGGGAAATTGTTGCCTTTAGCTAAAGACTGGAGCGTTCTGGAATTGAGCGGCTGCTATATACGAAGGAGAATTTAACTAGTATTATTGTTGAATTGTCTTCTTTTTGAGTTGATTAAATTAGTGAATGTACAGAAATTCAAGTGTAATTTTTACATTTTTAGGGAAATCTTAGTCTGTTTGGCATTAAGTTAACCGCTTGCAGAAACCAAGTGTAATTTTAACGCTCTTGTTCCTTTTTTTTTTTGTGGGGGGGGGGGGGGGGGGT